CATATGACATGTTCCAGAGCAGATGAACATGTGTATGTTGTTTGGTGTTGAGTTTTTTTCATGCACTTCCATGAGTACCATGGTTTAATATAGCAATGAATGTTTATGGTGATATTTAGCATCAGAGAAGGGGTGGTGAGAGCTGTCAAACACACTGAGGAAGGCATTTGAAGCTGGTTCAATTTGCAACATACCAGCTAATGCTCAGGACCACATTATTGAAACCCATTAGTTACCCAGCATATGAAGCATTTGTTTATGAGGCCTTGGGATCTCGCTTAGCTCCGCCCTTCAAGGGAGGTTCCTTGATGCTGGTGAGGGACTGTTGAACTTGGGGAATTGGATATATGCTCCAATTCCCTGAATTCATGAGCCTTTATAATCCCTTAGAGTTCAGCGTTCCTCCATATTATAGCCTCTCCTCACTTAACGACGGAGTTCCATTCCTAAGACCACGGCAGTAAACGAATTCGTCTGTAAGCAAGGAGCATACTATAATGGTAGTGGGTTTGTGTCAACCATCTTTGATATTGTTTTAATGTAACCTTTGCACCATTTATAACATTTTTAGTATATTTTTAAATGTTTATATAGTAGTGCACCATATGTTGTAATAAACAGAATAGAGGAAATGGGCTCTAATGTACATTATTTAGGTATGTGTACTGGTCAGAGAGCCTGTCGTAATTCCGAGTCATCGGTAAATGAGTACGTCGCTAAGCGAGAAGTTGTACTCTCAACCCTTGCTAATCAGATCAGGCATGTTGCACAGTTCATACACCATACTCTGCAGCACTATATGAATCTGGTGGGTTTAGTGCTTGGTTTTGATTATAATTTAATCTTGTCCCCCAGGATGCCACCCACACCAGTCGAATAACATCTACTTACTACAAGGTGAACAAAGACAGCATGTGTAAGGAAACACCACCTGTGTTCACCTGTGCAGGGGATTGAACTATGAACACTTTGGTTGTTGGAAACTTTGGGTGTTGGGAATGTTGGTTGCAGGGTACATTGATTGTTGGGAACTTTGGTTATTGGGAATGCTGGTTGTTGGGAACTTTGGTTGTTGGAAACTGGTTGCTGGGAACATTGGTTGCAGGTACATTGGTTGTCGGGAACGTTTATTGTTGGGGACTTTGGCTGTTGAGAACATTGGTTGTTAGGAACTTTGGTTTTTGGGAATGTTGGTTGCTGGGAACATTAGTTGTTGGGAACTTTAGTTGTTGGTAACACTTGGTTGTTGGGAGCATTGGTTGCAGGGAATGTAGGTTGCAGGGAACATTGGTTGCATGGAGCAGTGGTTGCATGTAATGGTGTGTGCAGAGAATGATGCTTGCTTGGTATTCGTTGGTTGTAGGGAATGTTGGATGCAGGGAATGGTTGCATGGAACAATGTTTTCATGTAGGTTGCATGGTATTATGGTTTGAGGGAAGGGAATGGTGGTTGCAGGGAATGTTGGTTGTAGGGAACGTTGGTTGCAGGGAATGGTGGATGCAAGGAAATGGTGGAATCTTGATTCAGGGTCCTATAATTCACTCATGGTAGAATCTTGATCCTGGGATTGATAACTCACCATTCACTCACTTTTTTGTCCTGCATGATATATCTGTGAATTTCTTGTAGATGCCTTCTGTAATCTTTTATCTTTTTCTCATAAAGTTTGGGTTTTATTGTTTTATCTACTGCAAGGCCTGATCTTTCTTCCTGATCACAATATTTGATTGTTATGCCATTATGGGCAAAATCAGATTTATGAAAATCTTTTAGTGCTTTTTCAGCAGCTTCATATGCCTTAAAGCAATTTTCCAAAGAATTTTTCTGTATAAATTTTGAGAAAATTATTCCACTTCAGTGGGACACAACCATAGCTTAGGGACCATAAATTATTCCATGAAGCTTGGGAGCTCCACCAGCACCATCAACCCTGAAGAGAGCTTTGGCTTCTTTGACAGTATCTTTCTGGTAAACATCATCAAAGAACTTCTTGACACCGGTGGTAGAGAAGCCATCATCTTGTTTTAAAACAGCTTACCATGCCTCTCCATATCCCCCTCTACCAAGTCATGTCTTAATATCCAGACTGCTCCAGGACAGTACAGGCATAACAGTGTTGCTGGTGTCTCCTGTTTTTACTCTACTGTCTGGGAGGCAGCAATTCTTCCAAGGTTCAGGGCCTTTCTCCGGGAGGACATTCACCTCTAATTTTGGCTTTTTGGAAGGTGGAGTGAGAGGGCATCTTGTGGAGTGAGGTCTCTTGAAGCCACCAGACAGTTCTTTTCTGTCGGCAGCCATAGCTAAGTACTAATCCAGGTCTTCTTTACCTTCCACTTTGGCCACTGTGGAAAACTTTTCTTTCTCCGATACCAATAATATATTTAATATACAGGATAACCAATAATATATTTAACAGACTGGATAACTAGTAATATAATCAAGAGATGATCATATATAGGTAGTGTAGATTGTAATGTAGTGTAAAGAGGGTTTAGGGGTAAGCCAGTTAATGGCCCTGGTGTAGTAGGTACAGTGGATCCCCGCCTTACGATATTAATCCGTTCCTGAGAGCTCACTGTAAGCCGAAATTATCGTTAGCTGAATTAATTTTCCCCATAAGAAATAATGGATATCAAATTAATCCGTTCCTGACACTCCAAAGCATGAAAAAAAAAAAAATTTAACCACATGAAATATTAATTTTAATACACACAAACTGAAGAAGACATGCACAATTACTACTCTACTAAGAATAGAATACATGACACTTACCTTTATTGAAGATCTGGTGATGATTGATGGGATGGGAGGAGGGGAGAGTGTGGAAGTTATTGTTTAGAAGGGAAATCCCCTTCCATTAGGACTTCAGGTAGCAAGTCCTTTTCCGGGGTTACTTCCCTTCTTCTTTTAATGCCACTAGGACCAGCTTGAGAGTCACTGTCCACAGAGCTCTGTCCCTCCCGTTCCTTTAAGAGTAATAAAAGGGGACATAACATTGTCATTGTACAGGTTGCCAACACGGCTTGCAGTAGCTGTGGCAGGGTGATTTTCATCTGTAAAGGTTTGCAGTTCAACCCATTTTGCACACATTTCCTTAATCTCGTTTTTCAATTCCATACTAATTCTCGCCTTTTTTACTACAGGGATGGCACTAGAAGCTTTCTTCGGGTCCATGATGACTTATTTTGCAGTTACAAGCACTAAAAACACTGGGATAATGTGAAATGTACCAAATGTATGCGTAGATGTGACCGCACTGGCTGGCGTTCAAATGCTTCGCGGACCCCCGCCTTACGAACGCATCGCGTTCGTAAGGTGGGGGTCCACTGTAGACTTCAAATGTTATTAACTACCCATATCTCCCTCACAATTCTGGTGTATAAAATTCAAATTTAAAAAATTAATGCATTTCCAATTTTCCAATTTAAATAATTTACTTGAAAGACAATGGCATCTTGGTACAGAAAACACCTTGAACAACTTTTTCAAGTGAGAATTGTTTGATCTGAGAGGGACGTGACCTCCCAGTAGCTACATTCTCACTACTACTACTCTGCACCTCTCCTTCCGAAAGTATTTAAGTCTCCACGCTTTCGCTTGATCTTCAGATAGTTCCTGACTATGGAACTGAACTTCTCCAGGCTGAGGGACTGACAACCTCTAATCTACGACTTCAAGGGTGATGGACTGATTACATCGTCTTCACATCTCTATTGTTCCTGCCTACTTACTGTATTCGACTGGCCCTAATTCACTCTCTTATTTACCCCTATCTCACCTATGGAATTTATGCATGGGGCTCAACAACAATTAACCATCTCAGACCACTAATTACCCAACAAAAGGCTGCAGTCAGAATGATAACAAATTCCCACTACAGGCAGCACAGTCCACCAATATTCAAAACACTAAACCTACTCACCATACAAAACATCCATACTTATTACTGCACCTACTACATACATAGAACACTTAACTCTGATTTTAACCCTCCCCTCAAACATCTCCTTGCCAACCTCAACAGAACACATGACCATAACAAAAGGGCACAGATCACTCTTTGATGTTCCTCATGTCCATCTCCCCGTATGCAAAAAACTCAATGCACATAAAAGGCCCTAAAATCGGGAATTCATTACCTTTTAAATATAAAAAAAAAACACTACCTTTTTTTATAAATTCAAGTCTCTTTTCAAAGATCACTACTCACCCAAAACCAAATAAATACTGAATAACTGAACCTTATAAATTGTATATTTTAAATGTTTTCTCATAATTATATCACATAAATTTTTTAAACCTAAGACCCAATCTAACTTTGTTATTTTTTAAATACACTACCTAACAGAATACTCCATTCTACTGAATGTACAGCAATGCATGCAACCATATGACCTGTCTTTGTAATACTCATTTGTGCTTTATTGTTATCTGTTTACAATAATGTTTTATCACTGATTACATCATTGCTTAGTTAATCTTAAGTTAATTTTAAGCCTGCCCGTAATGCTATGCATACAAGTGGCTTTGGCATGCTGCTCTTACCTGTATTTTTTTGTACCTCTGTATGTATGTTCAAATTATTAATAAATAAATAAATAAAGAAGAAGCCTACTGTGTAAGCGAAACGTTTCGGAATAAAGTTGCCTAACTATTGCCTATGTGTCTTACCTACCAACCTGTCAGTATTGTATACCATTTTGATATTCACTTTGTCCTGTCTTCAGGACTTTCCCCTCCCATCCTGAAGATCTTTTCCATACTGGGAGTCCTTTTCTTGCACGGAGAGGGACATGGTGTTGGGGAAATGGTTAAGCCAGTTATCGGGGAGATTGCAGAGAGACTGCTTTCAGAGATCACAAAGTTTGTCAACAATTCCTTGGCTGGTCTGATTCCTGACGAAATTAAACTTTTTTTTTTTTTTGGTACATCACTTTGTGCCCTTAAAAGGAAGGATGGAGGAATTAGGTCAGTTGCACTGAGCAACATTTTTGGCTACCTCGTTTCCAAAGCTGCTGTCTGGAGTATTCTCGCAGAGGCGGCCATGATGTTTCAGTCAAACCAGCTTGGCTTTGGGGTCTCTCAAGGAAGTGAAGCAGCAGTTTATACAACAAAGGAGTATACCAACAACCTGCATGAGGACAATGCAGTAGTAAAATTAGATTTCAAGAATGCATTTAATTAATTTTAAGTTTGCCTATGATACTCAAATATAGACACCTTGTATTGTGCCAAAACAAAAGCATTCACATTCTAAACTCTCAAATTATGATGTAGTCACTTAGCCTTAATACCATAATCTGTAAGGATTTAATGTTAAGATTTAATCTAAGTCTGCTCGAAATGCCTAGCCAGGTTAGGTGTCCTAGTGGCCCCCTCTGTAATTAGTATTTTATAACATGTAAACCACAAAATACCCAAAAGCTGTAAACCCCACATTGTAACCATTATAGAGAATAAACTTGAATTGAGAAGAGATGTGGTATTAGCAGCTGTATAAGACCATTTCCCTGGTCTCTTTCCTTTTGTTTCAGCTGGATATAGCAAGGAATCAATGTTAAGATAAGATTTCGTTCGGATTTTTAACCCCGGAGGGTTAGCTACCCAGGATAACCCAAGAAAGTCAGTGCGTCATCGAGGACTGTAACTTATTTCCATTGGGGTCCTCAATCTTGTCCCGCAGGATGCAACCCACACCAGTCGACTAACACCCAGGTACCTATTTGCTGCTAGTGAACAAGACAACAGGTTTAAGAGAAACGTGTCGAAATGTTTCCACCCATCGGGAATCGAACCCGGGCCCTCTGTGTGTGAAGTGAAAGCTTTAGCCACCAGGCCACCGGGCCCTGTTCCTGTTTGGAGAGCATGAAATCACATCATCAGAGGGTGTCCAGCAAGGGGATCCTCTCGCACCATTTCTCTTCTGTATATCAGTTAGGGAAATCACAGACTAACCAATGAGCTAAACATCTGGCTCCTAGATGAAGCACACTAGCAGGTACAAAGAACAACATAACATAAGAAAGGAGGATCACTGCTGCAGGCCTGTTGGCCCATGCTCGGCAGGTCCTTTACAATTCATCCCACTAACGAAACATTTTCCCAACCCAATTCTCAATGCTACCCAAGAAATAAGCTCTGATAACTCTATCCACTCATTTGCAAGTCCCACTCAAATCCAACCCCTCTCACTCATATATTTATCCAACCTAAATTTGAAACTACTCAATGTCCCAGCCTCAATAACCCAACTAGGTAGACTGTTCCACTCATCAACTACCCTATTTCCAAACCAATACTTTCCTATGACCTTTCTAAATCTAAACTTATCTAATTTAAATCCATTACTGGGGGTTCTCTCTTGGAGAGATATCCTCAAGACCTTATTTATATCCCCTTTATTTATACCCATCTTCCACTTATACACTTCGATCATGTCTCTCCTCATTCTCGTCTAACAAGTGAATGAAATTTTAAGGGTCTTCAATCTTTCTCAAAAGGGAAAAATTTCTAATGCTATGTATTAATTTAGTCATTCTACGCTGAATGTTTTCTAATGAATTTATGTCCAGTCTGTAATATGGAGACCAGAACTGAGCTGCATAATCTAGGTGAGGCCTAACTAATGATGTATAAAGCTGCAGTATAACCTCTGGACTTCTGTTGCTTACACTTCTTGATATAAATCCCAATAATCTATTTGCCTTATTACGTACGCTTAGGCACTGCTGTCTCGGTTTAAGGTTGCTGCTTACCATAACCCCCAAATCCTTTCCGCATTCTATACTGCTAAGTTCAACATTATTAAGCTGGTAGGTGCTAGGGTTATGAACATTTCCGAGCTTTAGAACTTTACATTTATCTACATTGAACTGCATCTAGATGATCTTAAACATGTGATGACATGGGGATAGTAAATAGGTCTCATCCTGAATCTATCCAAATGTGAAATAATGTCAGTCAATCAATAAGTGATAGATGCAGTGAGATCAAAACTACCAGGAGCATCAGTCATTGCCCCCACAAATAGCGTCTTGCTTGGAGCACCTCTGGGAAGTGATACCATTGACACAATTCTCAGGAAGAAACTGGAAGAGTTGAGAAGAATGGAACAACGAATAGGCAATCTTGACACCCATGATGCCTTGTACCTTCTCACAAAGTGTTCGAGTCTTCCTAGGTTAACATTTCCTAAGATGCTCCAATATGACAGTATCCTGAGGCAGATTTTTACAAAACTACTTAACCTTACTCTAGAAAATGGGTAGTGGGACCAAGCTAGACTTCCAGTCAGACTAGGAGGCATTGGTGTCTGCAAGTCATTCCAGACTGCGTTACCTGCTTTCCTGTCCTCGTGTTGCATCCAGAGTGCTTGTAGCAGGGATTCACCCTGAATATCTTAGAGACAAGATTGGTGTCCATGATCAAAAGTTCGTTGATGGAGCCATGATCTGGGATAATCTAATGGGCTCTGAAGCTAGACTTGCACCTCCAACAACTACAAAAACTCACACTGGGATGGCCCAATAGTGGAGAACACAGCTTCAACAATGCTTCAGTGTGTTGGGGATAGAGCCCGCCTCCTAGCAGTGAGAGCTCCTTATGTAGAGGACTTTCTGTTGGCTGCTCCCAACTCCAGCCTTGGCACATGCCTTGACCCACAGATCATCCGCATTGTTGTTGCCCTTCAACTTGCCGAACACAGTTGTATTTGTGGCAGTGAAGCAGCAGACCGATTCGGGTACCATGGTCTTGTGTGTCATAAATCCGAGGGAAAGATTGCAAGCCATGAAGAGGTTAATAACATTATCAAGAGGAGCCTCACAACAGCAGGATGCCCAGCAATAAGTGAGCCACCCCAACCATGTAGATCTGATGGCAGCCAGAAGCATCCAGTTGGTATCACCCTTCAAGCCTGGACAGACAGCAAGCAGGAGGTGTGGGACTACACATGTGCATCTACCTGGCTGATACCTATCTCCAATACACCAAGGAGGAAGGAGGAGCAGCTACCAGCTTCAGAAAGTCCCAAAACTGCATCTAAGTTCCTTAAGGAGCTAGGCAAAAGACTCATCAGGGTAACTGGGGATCCCAGGGCAGCTAGTTTTCTGTTATAGCGACTCAGCGGGGTATTGCCTGCTGTATCATGGGCACGCACCCCAGCTCTGAGGAGCTGGATGAGATTTTCGCATTATAATCAGTGACAAACATGTAACAGTATGTACTAGACATGTATCTCATGTATACCTCATGTACTGTATATGCGGTCTTTATATCAACAATGTATCTATTACATATATATACCACCTCTAGAACTGTCCTAGGGACCCTCATCCTCAGAGAAAAGAATAAACTTGCTTCAGGGAAAACTCAAGGTTCTCCCTGAAGCTGTTTGAGAATTTTCTCCTACCACCCCGTATATTTAATTAATATATTTAATTTAATTAATATTTAAAGACGAAATACATTAACAAAGCATTTACAAAGATACAATAGAAAGTAAAACAACATAGGTAACTCAGAGCTACATCTCGAATACTTCGTCCAGCTCCCCGGCGGTGGGCCGCGTGCCCAGAATGCTGCAGGCATTTCCTCTCTGGATCGCAACACTGAGTCTCTGAAAGAGGAAGTTGGTCGCCCTGTGGTCCTTGGTTTCTATGATGAACTTTTCACCCAGCTCTTTGAGGAACTTTAGAGCACACTTGCCCCATGCTCCAAGGGTCTCCGACCCTATTGGGATGAAGTTATAGCAAGGGGAAAGGTCTTAATATTTGTGGATCTTCTGGGTCTCCCTGTGGCTGGCAGCTCCACCCCCTTCCACTACGGAGTATGGCAAGTAGGTGTCTGCCAATGTGGCGGCACAGGTGGGAGTTCCAGGCAATCTGCTTTCCATCCTTCCAAGGTTAGCATAGTGGCTCCATCAGGACGCTTTTGACTTCCGTCAGAACCCCTGCACTTGGGGTTCCCGTTGAGCTGGGCAACGGGCTGTGGCGAGGCTTTCTCTTTATGATGTCATTGACCTCCTCATGCCTGGCATACTTCCCTTCTGCTGTGTGACACACGAGACCCCTGAAGTCGAATTGATCAGCTGTCGCCCTGCCGCAAATACACCTATGTTCGGTGAGGATGGAGGCGGCTAAGCGAAGAGCAACACCAATCCGAATGGCCTGTGGGTCTAGTCGAGTGCCCAAGGAGGAAATGGGAACAGCTAACAGGAAATCTCCTGAGTGTGGTGCCTTCACTGCCAGGAGACGAGCTTTGTCCCTTCCTGAGGCGTTGGAGAGCATTGCGTTAGCAATTTTTTCCATGATCGGTTTGTCCCAGTGGGACTGTTTGTGTTCTTTGGGACGAGCTGGACTACTGGAGGAATCTGTAAGGGTGTCCCACCGAATTGCTGCTTCAGTAAACCTGGCGTCTTGAGCTCCTACCACGTCTCTCAAGTGTTTGGGAACAATCTTCTTGACTAATGCACTGGAAGCCAAACACGATGACAGAAAAGCAGGTAAAGCAACATGCGTTGCTTTGCGCACCCTTATACCTCCCAGTCACACTGGGAGGGTTGCCTGATCCCATTGCTGATCCTCTAGTGACAGGTTCAGTGCCTTAAAGGTTGACCTCAGGTGTGCGTCATATTCGTCCAGTGTTGGTTGTCAAAAGAGGGTGCACACCTCAGGAAGTAAGTGAGTCTTGGAATAGTAAGGCACTGCAACTTCTTGGGATCTTAATACTTGGGAATTCTTCGCTTGCCTAATTCTTGGGCACGACCTACTTCAACGTTGAACAAATGTTACACGACCTATGACTTCTGCACCTCTCCTGCCAACGGTTTATAAGCTCCTTCTCAGCACGTATGCCGTATTCTATTCAAGATTGATGGACTGACCACATCGACTCAAGGTTGAGGGACTGATTACCTCATTCTCCTCCTGTTCTTCAAGTTCTCCTTTGTTGGACTGATGAAGCCACTGTGTGGCGAAACGTTTCCTCAATAAAGATACCCAAGAGTTGCACATGGTCTAATTTATCAACATGTCGGTTCTCTGAACCATTCATCTACAACCTGTCAGGACACTGCAACTTCTTGGGATCTTAAACTTTGGGAAAATTTTTCGCTTGCCTAATTCTTGGGCACGACCTACTTCAACATTGAACAAATGTTACACGACCTATGACTTCTGCACCTCTCCTGCCAACGGTTTATAAGCTCCATCTCAGCACGTATGCCGTATTCTATTCAAGATTGATGGACTAACCACATCGACTCAAGGTTGAGGGACTGATTACCTCATTCTCCTCCTGTTCTTCAAGATTCTCCTTTGTATGGACTGATGAAGCCACTGTGTGGCGAAACGTTTCCTCAATAAAGATACCCAAGAGTTGCACATTAGAGGGTACTGTTGGATGGAGTGGTAGTAGAGACTTCTGGGAGGATTCTTCACACAGCATTGATTATTTCCTGGTTCGCCGTGATGATTTCACACTTGGAGGGATTGAGGATGAGTCCGAAGTCTTCTCCCTGTGTTTTCACCAGTTGTAGGTCCCCTACCAGGGACTCTTCAGTACCTGCCAGTGCCATCATCCAGGTACCAGATGTTGAGCTCGCTGCGAATGCTGGAAGTTAGTTCTCTTACTGCCAAGCAGAAGAGAAGTGGAGCTAGTGGGTCACCCTGCTGAACACCTTCTAATGAGAGAATTTCATGTTCTCCAAAGAAAAGAATTGAGGGTTTGCTGTAGCCAGCTGAAATGAAGGGAAAAAGACTGGGGAACCGATCCAGAACAGCTGGCAAGACAGCATCTCTCTTCACCATACTAAAGGCATTTCTAAAATCAAGTTTGACTACGGCCTTGTCTTCTGGTAGGTCTCTGATGTAGGCCCTTGCCGCACGAGCTGCAGCTTCGCTGCCTTGAGAGACCCCAAAGCCCAGTTGGTGTGGCTGGAGTAGACTGGCAGCTTCTAGGCGAATGTTTCTTACTACTGCTTTGGCAACGAGACGGTGAAGAGTGTTTCCAACCGCAATGGGTCTGATTTCCCCATCCTTCTTCAACGCACATAGTGAGGCTCCAAAAAAGAAAGGTTTAATTTCTTCTGGGATTCGCCCAGCCAGGCAGTTGTTGACGAAAGTTGTTAACTCGGTGAGAAGAATTGATGCAGATGCACCGAGTACTGGATTTACCATCTCTTTGAGGTGCTGACCCCTCAAGGAAGGTTCCTTGATGTTGTGAGGGGGGTCTTGAATTTTGGGAATTGGTCTGGCTCCAGTTCCCGAATTAAGCCTGGGAAAGCCTTCCACATCCCCCCCCCCAGGCGCTGTATAATCCTCCAGGTTTAGCGCTTCCCCCTTGATAATAATAATAATAATAATAATTTGAGGTGCTGAGGTCGAATTCCAGTGTAACCTCCTGCAGATCTTGCTGGAAATGACATAATCGCCTTATAGATTTCCGTTTCTGGCAAAATTAATTGTTTAGTGATGGGGTCTTCCTCAGGGTTGTTGTTGATGGCTATGGTGTCCCTGGTTGGATGCTTGTCTCTTGGTGCTTGGGCTGTGATTAAATATATATTATATATATATATATATTATATATATATATATATATATATATATATATATATATATATACAAAAATATATTATATTATATATATATAAATATATATATATATATATATATATAAAAATATATATATTATATATATATATATATATATATATATATATATTATATATATATATATATATTTTATATATATATATATTATAAGATGGGGTCCACCTCTGGTGTAAATTGTGGGACCCATAGCCTCGGAGAAGTGGATAAAAAGGCTTCATATATATAATATATATATATATTTTAAAATATTATGATAGTTTCAAATTTTTATACTTCTAAAAATATTTTTATTGCCCACTTTTAAATGAAAAAAAATGACAAATGCACATTAAATATTATTTTAGTAATAATTATTTCAGTATATAAGAGTTGTTGTGTTGAATGTGTAAGTTGTAGATAATAATTGATGTATATAAGATTTATTGTTGTGTTCCAACACTGGTGGAGGTGCCAGGTACAAGTGGATCTGATCCTCTTATTAAGTTAGTCTTAAGACCATCTAGCTTTGTCTTGCTACTACCTAGCACGACTCTCCTCAGATTCCTCCACACACTCTACTCTCCTCACAACACTAATATGAGGAGAAAACAGTGTAGCAGCAGAAGATGGCGTCTCCCACACCTGCTGTACTCGCCCTTCACTATACACACACTTGTATGCTATATAACTCAAATTAATACACACCATGTATACTATACAACTCACATTAATGCACACTATAAGTAAGTTTATTCAGGTATACACAAATACAGTTACATAGAATTATCATACATAGCAGCATATGTGTACAGACCTAGGATAACCCAAAAAGTCAGAGTGACTTATTTCCATTGTGGTCCTATTACCTTATTATTATAATATAAAGGTTATAATATTTTCTTATTATTCTATAATGAAGATAACATCCTGTTATCATACTAAAAAGACTATCTACAATACGAGGGTCATTAAGACTATCTACTACACGAGGGTCATTAAGACTATCTACTACACGAGGGTCATTAAGACTATCTACTACACGAGGGTCATTAAGACTACAATACGAGGGTCATTACTAGGAATAAGGTAAAATTTACACGTATGTTCCTCTTCAAGGGGGGCTCCTTGGCGTGGGGGAAAGGCTTTTTGGTCTGAGGAATTAGACCTATCGGTCTTCTTCCCCAGACCGAACCTAATTACCCCCAATCTCCCCTCCCCTATCCCATCCTCCCCCTCCTCCCCTTTTTCCTTTCCTCCTCCTCCTCCCCACTCCTCCCTTTTGCCCTTCCTCTTTTTGTCCTTTGGGATTTCTCCCACAGGGGCGCTAGTTCCTAGGTAGGAGAAAGGACACCGGGGTCCATCCCATTCCGTTGAGGTTTCTTGGGGGGTGGCGTAGTTTTTCCGTGGAATCTGGATTGCCTAGGGATGTCCCGATCCCTCTCCGGTATCCCGGAGTAGCTTTGGTGTCTTTTTGGGGGACGGGTGTAGCTCTGGAAGCCACCCTTTTGGATTCCGGGGGTGGGGGCTGAAGGAGGTATGCTTTGTGGCGAATATCCGGCCGCCCTCTCTTTTGTCCACCGAGGTAAGCTCGGCGATGTTAGGTTGCTAAATCTCCAGATAGCTGTTTACTGCATGAAGGGTAGGGTCTGGCACGGGTTCCATTGCGCATCTGCGCTACTAGCGGTGTCGAGTCCCTTGGGCGCGGAGGAGATTTCCTGGCCCTTTTCATCCCTCCTAGGAACTATCCCTCCCCGGGTCCCCCCTTTTTTTTTTTTCTTTTTATTATTTTTATTTTCTTTTAGTCGTTCTTTCTTTTTTTTTCCTTAAAAACAAAAAGAAAGAAGTAAACCTAACCAATGGAAGCCCTAGTCCATGAACCTGGTACCCCCCCCCGGGCCCCTTCTTGATACCGCCCCCGTTCTGACCCCCGCCTCGTCTTTGGACCACTCTTCAGACATGCCTCATTGCCTCTAGTACCTATTGCCGTGCTGTTTCCTCACAACCGCTTCAGGTACTGAGGCCTCGACTGACCCGTTCGATTTATCAGACCTTCGCTCTCCCTCTGACCTATGCTTCCGGCTCTCCCTCTACTGCGCAATTTTCCAAATCGCCGACCCGTCCAACACTCGGACCAACTCCTGGTCCCACGCGTAAACGTCAACGACCAATTACCTGCCTGATGATACTTCTCCACCTTCACCTTCGTTTCTTCTCAGAAACGATCGACACGTCCTTCACTACCTTTCCACGCTTCATTTCAAGACTGAACAGTGGACTAAATTCTTCACTTTACGAACAACTTCCTCCTCTACTGCCTATCTTTCTGACCATAGTAATTTGCAAGGCACTCCTACGCCATGTTGGTAAAGATATTTCTTTTCATGTCTTAAGAGCGGTAAAATAAAAAAAAACAAAAAATAAAAAAAACGCGCATCAATACCGTACAGAATGCTACCCAGGCTCGTTAGCTCTCTCGTCTTACCCATATAGATACTGTTCCCCTGTCACCCTTGAAAAAGACATCATTCCCTCAATTCTTGTAGTGTACCGGTTATTCTGCCCCATACCATAGTCAAAAAAATTTCCAGACATGTGGCAACCGACATTCTAGAACAGCTGGAACTCCAAGACTCCCCAATTCCTCCAATGTAGACACTTACATCTTCCTGCCCGTGGGGCGGAGACATACCCTAGCAATGTGGCTCCGTTTAAACTTTGACAGCCGAGAACTCCAACCGTCCGTTTATATAGCAGACATCGTTATCAAGTTCGAAAGGTGATCCCTACACCACAGACAGGTAGAAATTGCTGGCGATTTGGCCATCCAGCGAAATATTGCAGATCTAGCGCCGAATTGCCCAGTCTGTGGTGCCTGATGACATTCTAATACGTCTTGCAATCGATCTCTCCTTCCCTCTTGCTTAACTGTCATGAGGCTCACCCTTCGTACTCTCCCCGTTGTCAGGTCTAGTAAACGAGCGGAATTCCGTTTAATAACCTCAAAGAGGAAGAAGGTCCCCTATGCCATGGCAGTTTCTCATTCTCCCCCTCCAAGGGATGACTCCCACGTGTTTCTATTCCCGTGTTTTCAAAACGTCCCCCCACTTCTGGTCTCCCATCTTCTCTACACCCCCCCACCTCTGTGGTTACCTCTCCCTAATAATCACTTCCTGTATCTAATCCTTTTGTCTGTCCTCGCTCAGACGTCCCTACTTCAACCCTCATCTAATCTCGCTTCTTCGAGTTCTCTCTTACAAGCCTCATATCGACGAGACCCTCGTACGACACCTCTTCCCAATCGTCCTCTACTTCTCAAAAGTCAAAAAAAGGTCCGGTAACACTCTCCTACCCATTCTTCCACCTCCCTCCATTTTACCCTCCCTGTCCTCTGTCCCTAGTTCTTCCCCCTCTCACTTGGCTCAGTTACAAGTGCAGAGGTTCACCCTCTCTCCTCGTAATGTACCTTCTCCCCAGTTCCCTCCCCAAGGTTTCTTCCTCTTCTGCCACCTCCCTGGTTCCTGTCTCTTCTGTCCCCTGCCACGGTCTTCTCCAGTTCCTCCAACCCTTTCGCCTCCCCCCTTACCTTGGGTACAGTACCGATAAGTTTCCAATCTTTACTCATCCACCTCCGCCCTACCATTTCCCCCATTATTGTCTCCATACACATCGTCTGAATTCTCCGAAACACTTGAAGCAATCTCTGAATATATTTCAGAGACCACAACCATCAATGGACACTGATCCACCTCCGCTCTTCTCTCTCCTCCGCTCCATCTGCGCAACTCCTTTCCTACACAGCGCACCGTTCCTTCGCTGCTTGAACATTTTCCACTGCCTCCGCAATGTGGGAACTTTTCTAACCCTTCTAGTCCTAAGGAACCCTTACCTGCGGATTTCAAGTATCATTTTCATTGCCAATCAGGCCTTTTTTACATGGAATATACGCGGCCTCAGGGTATCGGGGTGAAGCTTCAATGTTACTCTCCCCAGTTTCCCCTGTGGTGTTTGCTTACAGGAACCAAAATACAACTCTGCTGTTTATTTCTTTCTCCCACTATCTCAGGCTATAATTTATTGTATCTTCAGAGCCTTTTCCCTGAGGGAGGACCTTAATGAAAGTGCCCTTCTTCTTCCGGCACTGATATTCCGTACCATCAGCTATTTGTTCATACTTCGCTGCATTACACAGCAGCCCGTATCCACTTAACTATAGGTGGTATACGCTCTGTTCTTTATATCTCTCTCCTTTCGGGCATTATCTATTCCAGATTTAGCCTTCCTTTGTTTCGTCATTACCGCCACCGATTTCTGTTACTTGGTGATTTTAATGCCCACCCTTTCCTCTGGGAGGGGTCTCACTGTGATTCCCCCGTGGAATTCAGTAGAGCTTTTCTTGCCACCCACCCCCCATGTTTTAAATACAGGTACCTCACACCCATTTTTGATCTCGGACTCATACTCTCTCTTGCATCGATCTCTCAGTTTGCTCTTCCTCCGCCGCATTAGACTTTACTTGGTCTGTTCTCCCGGACTTACATGACAGTGATCATTTCCCAATCATTCTTACTGTCCTTCATATTCGCCACCGCTTTCGCACCCCAACCTGGCAATTTAATCGGCAAGATTGGAACCTTTACTCACACCTGAACTGTTTTTTAAGAGGTTCCCTTCTTCGTCCTCTATCGATAGCTTTTACACCCTCTTCTCGTCCTCCGTTTTCACCGCAGCTTCTCATTCTATACCCCAAACTTCGGGCAGGCATTCTCAAAATGCTGCCATGGTGTCTCCTGCTTGCTCGTGCAGTACGTTTGAAACGCGCTGGCATGGGGCAGGTTTACCCGGAACAATAGAAATCCACAGAGCGACACCTTGATTAAACAGAACGTGCGATCGCTCGCCGTGTCATACGTGACGCTAAAACGCACTTGCTGGCGAGATTATGTCCCCTCCACATCACCTCTGCTTCACTATATGCAGTCTGGAAAAAATACAAAACTGAGTGGTACTATTACCCTCCTGACCCGCTCCTTGTTCTGCGGTTTCCGTGTTGATATAGCAACTCCACTAGATGTTCCCAATGAAATTGGCCAATCACTGTCCGATTTCTCATGGACTCCATCTATGCCCCTCATTTCTTTCCTCAAAGTCTGCCAGAGGAGTGTAGCCCCTTGACTTTTCTTCTCTCAGAGAAGAACGTATAATGTGCCTTTTACACTTCAAGAACTGGATGGCAACACTCTCAGCTTGTCGATCATCGGCACTGGGCCCCGACGACATTCATATTCGTATGCTACAACATTTACAATCAGTCAGCCCTTGCAGTCCTATTACAACCCTTTACAATCTTTTGGGTAACAAAGAGTTCTTCCAACAGCTGTGGAAAATCCGCCATTGTTCTCTGCCTTTCCGCAAATCCAGGGCACTACGGGACATGAACCTCCCACTACTATCGTCCCATTGCTCTTACCAGTGCAGTTTGCAAAGTAATGGAACGTCTAGTAAATAGACGTTTAGTGTGGTATTTAAGAGACACACAACAAGTCTCTCCACTCGTCAATATGGCTTTCGGAAGGGACGTCTACATAGACCCCTTACTGCGCTTGGATACGTAATGTTCGTAATGCCCTTTGCGAATACCACTCTCAGTATTGCATATTTTTTTGACCTTTATGAGAGCAAATGACACAACTTGGAGGTATAATATTTTAGAGCCCCAAGCCCACTCCTTAGGCCTTCGAGGCAA